TGATTACTTGTCTATAATCATGTCTATATCTGTAAATTAATTGTTTGATTTTAATTACAGAGACCTGATTGTTCTCGTGGTTATTAGCAGCCAAGTCCCTTGATGCCCAGTTCACTGCATTGCGTAAAGAAGAACTTGAGAAAGAGATGCAAAATATAGTTGCTATTAAGATACAGTGGTGTCTGGGAATGAAGAAGATGGCGATGGTTCTCTAGCAACTGTTTCACCATTAAATCCAGCAGTACGTGACTCCTCAAGCAGTTCATCTGGAGCTGCTACTAGCAATATTTGATCATACTTCTTTATGTAGAATTTGCCATCTAGAAAGATTTAAGTACAACTCATGAGAGAAGTTCACTTGATAGACATTTTGTGTTCTTTTTTTTATACACTTTGTGAACATGACTTATTAGTTGATACTCTTGCTGGATACATTTGTTATTTTATTTTTTTGTAATACTTTTGATCAATAAGATTTCTACCCATCTTATATGGTTATGGTTATGGTTATGACTATGACGATTTATATGATTATATTTAATATAAGGTTCAGATTAGCTTACATTGATTGTTTATTTTTTTAATAAAAATTATTATTTTTAAATTAAATTTAAAATATTTAACTTTAAATTTAATAAAAACTATTATAAGTAAATTACTTTTTTTTAATAAAAAATTAAAATATTTTAATTGAATAATTTACAAAAAATTGAAATTAGGGACGAAATTAGTCCCTCCCTGTTAGGGACGGAATTTGTCCGTTCCTAATAGGGACAGACGAATTTCGTCCCTAATAGAGACGGAATTTGACTGTCCCTATTTGAGACGAAAAAAATTCTTTCCTAATCTCGTTCCTATTAGGGACAGATTTTAGCCTTTTATAGATCAAAATTGTTGATAATATTAGAGACGGAAAATACATATTAGAAACGAATTTTATTCCGTCCCTAATAGGGACGGAACTAAAATTTCGTCCCAAAACATTAGCAAGGGGCTATTTAGGAACAAAAAAATTTTCATCCCACATTTCGTCCCTATTTTATTTTGGGACAGATTTATGCCTAGTAGGGACAGAATTTGTCCGTCCCTAATACCTATTTTTTCAGTAGTGAAATAACACAGTACGTACCATTTCCTGCTTGCATTACTCTAATCTGAATTAACGAATATATTATAAAGACTTACACTGATATTGATGAAATTACAAATACAAATCACGGACCAAGGGCCAAGGGGCAAACAAATATCTAATCATGGAAAAGATTGCCTACTTTTATTTTTGTGGGTGTTCTAGTAAAATAGTTTATGTAGAAGATGGTAGCCAAAACCTGTGGAAAAAGCACTTTTCCACAATAAAAGAGAACAACGAAGTTTGCATTCTGAAAAAAAGTTGAGATCCATAGCAGAAAGAAGTTACTAATAGTGTACTTCGACGCAGCAGGGGAATACTATTATCCTCTAATATACTGTCCCAAAAGACAAGACATAACAATACACAAGAAAAAGTATTATGAGTCCAATATTCTGTTATCAATATCAAGATTTGTAAAATGAAACCAAAACCAAAAACAATTCCAACATATAATATAGCAAAATTTTCAGCCGGTTTTTCATAATGTAAATCATAATATTGAACAGACTTTTTCTTCGTTCAAAGAAGTAAAACACATAATAAATAACAAATTGTGTAATGTGAATAGAATCTGCCATACATATTAAAAGATTGAACATGGCACAAAACAAAATCAAAACTGTAAATAGAATCCGAACTCTTTCATCATCATCTAATTTAGATACGTGCCAAGAAAAATGCATGGAATGCTATGCAGACAATATACATAACAATGTATGAACATGTTTCGTCCTACATTACCTACTAAGATTTCCACAAAGAATTCTAGAAGGCTAATTTACATCTGAAGATTAATTAGTGCTGTGTCCATTTAAACTCCTTCATGTTGATACCTACTTATATTATATAGACGGCGAAGGCATGTTGATTTTGCGAACTGGCGGCGGAGATTAGAAGCAACCAGCTTCGAAATTGTTATGGAACAGACTTAAGGGCCCATGTCTCAACAGCCCACAACAAACAAATAGTTAAGAAAGATAAGAATAACAACCTTATCACACACAATTAAAAGAGAGAAGGTTTGTGACAATCCTAACTACTCCCACCTAAGAATTAAACCCATCAGATACGATATTTATGCTCTATTACTCTCTAATTAGCTATTGTTGTGCACCTGCCGTCTCTACTCTTTCATAGATATCTACAGGGTTACTGATCCTTGACATATCACCCATTAGGTGAACATCCTTCGTCCGCTTGGATCGAACCAAAGTCATTGCTGATTAAACTTTCAACCCTACCTTACAGGTTTGGCAAAGAGAAGGAGAGAAAGATGAAATTTTTATTTTTATTTATTTATTAATTTATTTGTTTGGGTCAGGGATGGGCATGGTAATTAAAATCTCAATTTAAGTTTTTTTTTTTATCAAAATATTTTTATCAATGTTTCAAACACTTTTATTTATTTTATTGTTTTACCAATTTTTACGATTTTTGTTTTAACAAATCTTGTTTTTAACTACTTGGCCATGGGTAGGGGTGAATAGCCCAAAAAACTGAAGTCTATGTCAAAAAATTTTAATTTAGCCTGTCCCAGGTCTGGTACGAGTCTAACTGTTAACCTGGCTTGACCCGTTTATATAAAAACAAATAGCCTAGCCTAGCCAATTAACATGTTAATTTTTAACTACCAAGCAGAACCATGAATCAACTTTATGAAATACTCAAATTCTGTTGCTAAACCAAAAATTATAATTTCAACGTCCAAACTGAATCATGAATCACAACAAAACTCATACAATCTGCATTAAGTCACTTTCAAAAACAAAATGCTCCAACTAACTAACATATATTTCATCATATCCAATAAACAAATTCATACTGTGTAAATTAAAATAACTACATGAATCTAACAAACACATCATAATGCTTGTAGTAAGTATAACATCTCCCGAAAACCTTTTAATATATTCATATACACAATCTAACATGCAGGAATCTTGGTTCCTCTTACATAAGAAATAAAATCAGATTTCTATTAAAATATAATCGAATATAATTAAGTTATAAATAATTACAATTGATTAAATTTATATCTTTTATTTTTTCTATAAAGCATATTTATTCTATTTCATTTTATTTAAAATAAATAGTACAGTATGAGCTGATCTATAGGCTTATAGGCTAGGCCTTGTGAAGGTGGGTTCCGGCCTTTTTATTAAACAAACTTTTTCCGGATCCAAACTTGGCCTTTTTTACGAAATATAATATGTCAGATTTGACCTGACGTAAGCTGAGTCATATGATCCTGTAGGCCGATTCGACTTAGTTTCACCTCTAGCCATGGGTGACCGACATCGTCATGATTGCGATTGTAGGAAGCCACGTGTCCGGTTGGATCCACCAAGGTTACCAACGATGTTCTTGTTTCATCTCCTGTGCTTGCGCATGAAAGTGCTCTGTATTTAGACTCTCTCTGCTTGTGTTGACTATTGATTTTAACTTTGAGTGGGAAAACAGTTAAATATATTAACCAATATATATATATATATATATATAAAAGTTATATTTATTACTTATTTTTGTTTATAATTTTTTATAATTATATCTTAATCGTTGATTTTCATCGATTAACGATTTAAATTTTTGCATATCAAATTTATTAATTAACTATTAGTTTATGATAAATATCAACGGTTGATTTACAAAAATAAATAATTAAAATATGATTATAAGAGTTAATAAAGTATTTGAGTTATAAATTATAACTTTAAGAGTATATATATATGGTTTGTGTTCAGATCTGATGTTCACGTGATATAAATAAAATTATGTGCCAACCAATTCCATATGCCAGTTTCATTAAAAAATTAATCTTAAATCTTTTCTCCCTCTATATTCCATTCTTATTCCAGGGAAGGGATCAGATCCAGAAGCATTCCACTGAAGAGAAACTCCCAAACCCAGTTTTTGTGATCTCCCATTCAGTCTTTTAATTCTCAGTGCAGAGGAAGAGAATGCCCCGTGTCCTATGAAATTGCCTCTTATAAGCATTCTTTGTTCCCACACCACAAAAAGGATACCTCTTTGTTGAATATTGAGTATTTTACAATCTCCGGGCTCAGTTTTGTTCCGGGTATGTGTGTAATGTTATATGTGCGCTTTAATCATTTCTAATGTGTGTCGGAATCTTCTTCAATTTCGGTGTAGTGGGAATTGCTAAACTCAATTACTCTGTTCAGAAAAGCAACTCTAGATCTGTGAATGCCTTTGAGGTCGCCCCACTTAAGCATTTATTTAATTTTGTTTCTGGCTGAACACACTCATAATGTTCTTTTCTTGATCTGGATTTACCTACCGGATACTCGTATGTTATGCTGCTTGTTCTATTGTGTTTTCCTATTGATTTAAGGGAAAACCGTGTATCATTTTAAAGTAGATAAATTTATCTCATTTTAAGTGAGAGAAAGAGATAAATCATAAGAGAGATAAAGGACACGGAAAAAAATTTAAAGACGTGAGTCTCACTTCTTCTCTGTGAGAGTGAAAGGGGAGAATATAAGGTGTATCGTATAAAATGACACACCTTTTTTCCTTGATTTTAAACTAGATTATGAAAGCATGATTTTGTTACATTTGAAAATGAAGGCGTTTTATTTTTTATTGATGAGTAGGTTGCAGATGACCCTGTTTTTAGTAAACCTTGGATAATATAGTATCACTATTTGAACTGATAAAAATATTATTTTATTCATCCTACAAGCAATATGTAGATCAACCTAAGTATAATATGTGGATCTTGAATTTGCAGTTTTTACCTCCTTTGCACTGTTCTTTGTTGTCTGTTACGTGGAGGAACTATTTGTGATTTTGTGAATCCCCGATAGAAATTATTCTTCATATGGGCAGGTATCTAGGGAAGAAGTAAAATTTGGAGGCTGAAGAATATTCGGCATGTTCAGGTTATCTCCCCGGAGGAGTCAAAGATCTAAGGGCTTCAAGGTGAAGCATGCTCTACAATTATGTGTTCTGCTTGGCGTTTGTATATGGCTGGTTTACCAAATCAGGCACTCTTATGAGAAGAAAGCATCCTATGGTGAAAGCAAAAAAGCTGGCAATGAGGTTGCCAAGTTAGGGAGGAAAGACCTCCATCCTCGTGTGGAGGAAACTTCTGTCATAGATATAAGGCACAAGGAGGAGGAGGATGAACAAGAAAACAAGCATGAAGAGCCAAACAAACTGGACGATGTTAATGGTGTGGTGGAAGATGAGGTCTTAATGCAAAAGCAAGGGGAAAATAACCATGAAGAGAATTCTGAGCATAGGCAGGATTCTATAGACCAAGAGAATGAAGAAAGTTCTGAAAATGCTAGGACGGACATGGAAAGTGAGCAGCATATAGAGAAATTCGGTGAAGAGAATGATAATATGGACAACAAGGAGAATGATAGTACAGTGAAGGAGAATGAAGAGATCAAAAGTGAAGTGGAGGACAAAGAAACTGGAGAAAATAGAGAGGAAAAGAGTCAGCAAGAGAATGAAGAGATCAAAGACCATTTGGAGGAAAACAATGAGCAAGATAGTAAAGAAGAGAAGGAGGAGACCAATGGAACAGAAGCAGAGAAAGAAGAGCATGATAAGATTCAAGAAGAAACTTCATCTGAAAATCAGGTTCAGGATGGGGAAAGGAACAACCAGGAGCCTAGAGAGGAACAATATGCAGGTGATAACGCTTCTAGTGCTGTTGACAATAAATCACAAGACTTCTCAGATGAAAGTCATAACAAGACAGAACAATTTGACAAAAAGGAAGAGAATGAAATTGAGTTGGAATCTCAGAAAAATGGTACTGAAACTACTGAACTGACTGATTCTACCGTCACAACAAACAACCAGGGAAATAATCATGAGGATGAGGCACAGACAGAGAATGATTCACAGAAGAATTCAATGTCAGAGTCAGATGAGAAGCAGCAAGAGCAGAATAACCCCATAAAAGATGATGTAGAAACTGTGGACTCATCGCTGCAGAATGGGACTGACACAACATCTTATACAACTGAAAAACAGAATGAAACACCTGAAAATGAAAACTCCAAGATAGAGGACTCTAACATGCACAATACAACATCAAAAACGGAAGATTCTAACTCAGAAGCCAACGGGGATCAGGCTGATTCCACATCCACATCTTCCTCAGGAACCCATGAGACCAATGCAAATAATGGAGAATATAAGGACACCACTAGTAATTCTGTTCAGAATGAAAACCCCAACAACGATTCTGTCCAAGAAGGAACAAAAGAGAATGTTGTATCAACCAACACATTTGACAACATAGATGCTAGCCAAGAGGTTCAACACACTTCCTCTGATACTTCATCAGAACAAAAGAAAGATGAGTCCTCGAATGCAGAAAATAATAGCCATTCTGAGCAGAATGACAAAGAAAACTCTGCTCAAAGCAATACAAACAGTGATGGAAGTGCTGATGACAACAAAGATGCTAACCAGGCAAATTCCTCCGGTACTTCATCTGAACAAAACAGTGAGGGATCCTCAAACTCAGAAAATAGCAGTGATACTAACCAGAATAGCTCAAACAGCAATGAAAATGCCAATGACAATGGGAATGCTAGTCATGATGACCCAATCAGTGCTTCTGATTCATCCATTCCTGAAGAGAAAGATGCATCCTCAAATAATAATGCTGATGCAGAGCAGAATGAGAATGAGAACACTGTTCAGAGCAAGACTAGTGAAGAAAATGAAGGTGGTGCTCAAAATGAATCAGTTGAGTCACAAAAAGAGAAAGAGGAATCTGCACACTCAGACGGAGACAGCAATTCTAAGTTGAATGATGAAGGAAGTTCTGATTCTTCAATCCCTCAGGATGTTAAAGAATCTCGCGTGGACTTGGAAACTTTGCCAGAAACCAATGCAGAAAGCAATAATAATGATGCTACTGCTGCAGAGTAATAATTTAAATAAAATTAATTGTAACCTGCTTCTTCTGATCCTACTTTCTTTTTTCTTTTTAAATTTTTGTGGAGCCATGTACTATTCTATACTTTGCCAATATGCTATCAAGTTTTTGTTTTCACAGGATCAGAACAAGAATTTAGAAAGATCTAGAGTTTCATTTGTATAAATCACTTGCTATTCTTAATATGTAACCAGGACCATTTTATGGAAGCAGTGATTATCACGTCTTTAAAGTATCATCAAAGCGAAGTTCCTTCTCTTTAGTGTTGACCCTTCTTCTCATTATAGATTTTGCGCTGATTCTCGAAGAAAGCATCAGGAAATGAATACATTATGCTTTTTGCATCCTCCAAAAATAGGGAAAGGAAAACTGGAAGAAAAAATGTCTTCCATGCAAGACACTGCACTTATATAACAACGGCTGGTATGAAGAGAACAAATTTGCACCTTAAATTTGCTTTCAGGACATCAGGGAACACCAAGTCACTTCCTGTGGTCTTAAATATTATATTTATCCGTTCTCATTTTAAGTGAAGTCAGGGTATTTCTTATAATATCTTTCTTTTTATCATAGTTAAATATTATATTGAAATGTGGTATTTTACTTAAAAGGACATAATATTATATCATTTATCAGTACAAGTACTTTTCCCAATTTCTATCTCTGATTTATATTTCTTGACTCCATGTTTGACAGAAAGACTAATGAGGTGTGATATTTAAGGCAAATATCAAGAAAAGTTGGAAAATATTTCCAGTACTAACCGATGTTGAGTACATCATTTACTAAAAAGGTAAAAAAATAATATATTACATTATCCCCATTTTTATGATGACTTTCTTTTATTTATTTATTTTCATTTTTTGGTAAGAGAATACCTAGTTCTGTTCCGCAGAAAATGTGCTCGGAAAAGTTGAATGGCAAAGAACATGGAACACGCAAGGCAGTTCGTCTTTCACTAACTAGATGGCGCCTCTGTAGCTAACAAAGAATAGAAAGATAATAGAGATATCATAACTGCTGCACGCTAAAATGTCCCATGCATATATATGGGAGCGAGGATATTTTAACTATCAAAAATTCTTACTACTAATTTATTACTTATCAGATCACCATTGGATTAAAGAGAGAAAATGTTAAAAAGTTTTTGAAGAAAAAAAAAATGTTAATCTAACAGTGATTAGATAGTTAGTAAGTTAGTCCTGAAAAATTTTGATAATAAGAATATAGTTGGTTTGTACATGGATAGCATCTGCATAATAAAAGGTAAAAGAGCTAAAAAAAAGTAAACTAACTCTAACTGATTCGAGATTTAAAGCATACGCGCGTGAGTGTCACTTACACTTGGAAAGCAGCTGTACGAAGAGGAAGAGGAGAAAAAAAAATGTGGATTAGCGTGCGTGCTTTGGTGGATTTCATTTACACCAAGAACAAGTCTGCAAATTTATACTCGCTTCTAACCCTTTATTCTATACAAATTCAATGTTTTAAAACTCGCCCCGCTTCGGGATTGATTTCGCCGGCTCAGAGATCTCCTTTATTTGAGGATTGAAGTTAGCAGTTAGATCCTGCTACATGTATATTGACTCTTATGACTCTCGAAACCTGGCTATGTCTCTGTTACTCTCTGGGTTAGAGAAAGGTTACTGCATTTTAAACTCTTTTGGTGTGTAAAAATAAAAATAAAAAGTCTATTTAGAATTATATCTGAAATTTGAATCTTTCTTCTTATTCTCTTCCGATCTTATCTCCCAAATTCAGTCTCCTCGAACCGGTGATCTCCCGGAATCCTTCCTCCTATCCTCTTCGGTCTTCTCTCTCCCTCTCCTCCGCCTTATGTTCTTCTCTCTCCATTGTTGATTCATCGCACTGCCCCTCTTCTTTGTCGTTCTCTCTTGGACAAGGGATCTCTTTTCACATGCTGTTGCATAATTTTTATGTGTGACTTCAATTTCATTTGTTGTTGTTTGTAACTTCAAATGATACAGAGAAGTTCATTCCATTATTTCAAGAAGCAGCAAATTTTTTTAAGGGGAATGTATATTGCTTCAGATGCTATTATTTTATGGGTTCGTTTTTTTTGCAGTTATTGCAGATAAGTTATCTAGCCAAATATGACATCTTTTTGGGTCAGAAATCATGGTGTTTTTGTAATTTTAATTTATTTCAGGGTTATAATAGTCTTTATATTTATAATTTTTTAAGATTTCAATACCAAAACGTCGTCGTTTTGAGAATAAATGCAGATAACTTATCTGTAGTAACTGCAGAAACATTTTTTCTTTATTTTATTATCTCTGTGATGATATTCTTTCTCTAGACTCTAGACAAATTTGTTTATTTATTTATTTATTTTTGATAACAGTATGTTTTTTTTTTTGGTAAGCAGATTGTAATATGTGTTTTATTTCCAGAAAAAAGTGCAAATAAAATAGAATGCTATGTTGTTTATAATAATTACGGTGTAATGGATCATTAAAGTAGATTAGGAGAAAGCAAGGGTTGACGAATTTTTATTTAGAAGCCATGGAGTTGACATAATGAATGTTGTATGTAGTTATTTTATGGTGATGTTTGAGAAACTAAAAAATTCAGATAACTAACTAGGTTCAATGGAGTAATTTGTATAATATGGTGTTTATTATAGCTAATATTTTGGAAAACTAGTTTGATACTTTGATTAACTTGTGTAATATTGACTTGTGGATGTAATTGGTTGAATTATGTTAAATATATTTTGAATCTTTGATAATTGATGATTTGATTTTTTTGAATTTTTCATATAAGATATATATTTATTTTTTAAAATATATAAAACCGGGTCAGTGATTTTGTGACCCCCACAATTTAACCTGTGACCTGATTTCGGCTGAGTCGATAACCGAACAGAGTTTTTAAACACCGTACAAATCTAATGGTTATTAATTAATATTTTTCTCATTAATTGAAAATAAAAAAACACATGATCACCTATACTATAACTTATCCATTTGAATGAGGAGATCCGATTGAGCATCTTATCTTTCTTTTTTTATAAACCACATGTGTCTTTCACATAAAACAATCGTGTTCAGGACGAATCCAAAATTAAGGCTTTAAACTCCTTTTAAAGATAATATTGAGGAGGATCGAACACATGTCCTTATCTCAACTACTTAGTTTTTATACGCCAACTGAACTACCATTCTTATATGAACATCTATCTTTCAATGACGGTGAAGATGATAGTTTTAGATGTGACAAACTTACAATGACATTTACATGAATAGTCAGATCTTGATATTACCATCTTCAGATCTGATTTCAGCTATTTATGGGTTCAAGTATTATCTTGTATAAACAATTGAGATTGAACTAATGACAAATGATTTGACCCAACCGAGATTGATATTAAATTGTTCGACTTTTGAATAAGGACCTGGTCAGTTATATGCCCAATGCAGATTTCTTTGAATAAATTAAGGGGTTTATTAGTGACAAGTAACTGTAAAATCAAATTTGGTTCCTGCACACTTATTTAAAACGGGACCCACTAGGTGAAATGAAAAAAAAAAAACAAAAAAAAAAGAAGAGCTCACTTACGTATGTGAGAGCAGGAAATAACATGATTTTGCTGTTACTTGATACAAATAAAACCCATAAATTAATTATCAAACGCAAGAATTCAAGCACAATGAAAAATACTACTTAGTTAGGGATAAGGACTTGTGACTTTAGAGAGAAGAAGAGCAGGTCACACGACATTAAGTGACAATTTCTATTAGGCATAGAAAGAAGAAGAGCAGGTCACACGACATTAAGTGACAATTTCTATTAGGCACAAGATTTGGTGGTTTGGTGGATGACAGAAAAATAAATAAAAATATATCCATACATAATTATAAATATATTTTTTATTAAATTATAAGTAAATACACTCTTTACTCAGTTAAATACAAACTCATTTAATTTGGAAAAAAAATCTGGGGCTAGTATGGTCCTCAGAGAGTTAAGATTCTGGTGTGTACATTAGTGCATCGTGGGCTGCTCACTATTGGTAAAATTGCCCAATTGAATGGAGGGGATGATCTTTGTCCCATGTGCAGAAAAGAGAGGGAGACAGTTATCCATGTAATGAGAGATTGTCAGGAGGTCATGCCCATTTGGCAAATTCTTTCTTCGGAGGCTTCAAACGCGTTTTTTTTCAACCAGAATTTAGATGAGTGGCTGACCAGCAATATATGTGAGGGCAGGAACATAGGGACCGAGGGGGATTGACAGTCATTTTTTTTATTGACCTGCTGGAAGCTGTGGCAGTGGCGCAATGGCTTGGTTCACGGTGCTTGTCTCCCTCCTCTAAGTGATAGGGAGGTTATGATCCAAAAATTGGTCCAAGAGACTTTTCAATCCTATAAATGGTCGTCTATCAGTGAGGAGAACGGTGCATGCTAATATCATATGGCAATTTCCTATGGCTGATTTCGCTAAGGTTAACACTAACGGCACTGTGCGGTGCAACCCAGGATAGGCTGCTTGTGGTGGTGTCATTCAGGATGCACATGGCAGATGGGTGGCTAGCTTCGCCTATAGATTGGGAATTTGCAACGCCTTAGAGTTGAGCTCTGAGGGGTTGAACTGGCTTGGAATGCTGGTCATCATAGTGTGATTCTTGAAAAGTGATTTAACATCTATAATCATTGTGCTCACCAAGGTACAGCAACTCACGAGGGGCACCTCATCTTTCGGATACGAGCATTGCTTCAAAGAGATTGGTGTGTTAGGCTTCAACACACATAGGGAAATGCATGTACAGATTCTAAACAGAGATGATGATCTGCTCCACCTCTACAGAGATACCCCACCGGATGGAATCCTTTTACTGTATTTAGCTGATCTCTCTGCAGTGGGTAGACCACGTGCAGTAGTTATTCAGTAGTTAGGTGTTTGGTTTTTTTTTCTGGTTTTGCTTTCTGTTTCTGTTTTCGTTTTTGCTTTGTCTGTTTTTTGGGCCCTGGCCCTTTTGGTTAACCCAAAACAAAAAAATACGAACTCATTTTATATTGACAGCGAAACATCGTGTACGACATGCACATGTTAAAAAAATTTACTACAATTAAAAACTTGTAATAATTTTTTTTTATTTACTAACATTATGGATTCATTAAATTCAAAAGCAAAACAACAATAGCAAAGATAACCGAAGGACAATAACGATGTTAAATCACTGTTCCAATTTAAAAAAAAAAAATTGATCGAGACAAAAACATGATGCAATATTCCTGGGATCTCTTTCAAAATCGAAGCAACTGAACAAGATTTGGTATAAAAACAAGCATCATATTGTTTGACGATTTTATTTTGCTTCAACCATGAGAACGAAAACAAGATAGCAACATGACAAACCACGTTGTCAAGTGCAAGTTCTATTTCAAATTTCAATCAACAATACGAAACTGCAATAATCACTATTTCTTAAACTTTGACAAAAGGAATGGCCATCAGTGCACAAACTACCTTTCATTAAACCAACCAATTCTCCTAGTGGTGCTTCGATTCAAATAACCCATCAGGACCTGATTATCATAAAAGAGCCATGTCATACAACTTGGAATCTCAGGCCAACAAAATAATTTGAGAAGGAAGGCAGATGCAGTATCATTAGAATACTAACAACAGCCCTGGCAATGCAAAGTACACAGAAGAAATGCTTTTCTAGTCTAAAGCCTAACAATAACATGCATATAAGCATAAATGACCACCACGACACAATAATGTCATAGAATGAGAAAATGATATATACACGGACAAAACACACACCAGAAATGAGGGACAGAAATTTTTTGGCAGGGTGTAAAGCAATAAATGAGTAACTTCTCAGACACTCATTTAATGTATTGTGAAGCTTTTTAGCTTTTTGTCTATGCAGGTATCATTTCTCTCTAAGAATTGATCCACAAAGGAATTCTAGTGTGTGCCAGAACAAGCCTTGCATATTCCTCAAAAGATGAATGTCAAGTTCTCATAAATCCTTGCGTTGGAAGCCAGAAGGCCTTGGGTAGTGCCATGCAAAAAAAAATGTGTAAAAACTCAAAGCCAGAACAAATTCTTTTATACTGACTTAAAAAAAATGGAACCACTACGAGATCCTCCTTGTAGTTTTGAAAATTGGAGCCCACATTAGAACAATATATACCACTGTATAAAATTCCCCATAAATATACAACACAAAAAGCCCACGCATGATAATGGGTGTGAATAATTAACTACAAATGGCCACGCCCTACCAACTATTAGAAATACTAGGTTGTGCTTGCCAACTCCAACATACTAATCAACAAGAGATGACTACTCCACTTAATATATGTTAAAAATACTCATACAAACAGTTGCAACATTATAAATAAACCAAAAGACTACAACTAATGAGATTTTCCAGCACAAGTGGAACTGAAACAAATTTAATTGATCTAAATAATTTAGTGGAATGATTTTTGGGGACGGAACTTTCTATGAAGGCAATATAAATATCAAAGCATGAAATGAAAGACACATACCCCAAGGGAATTCCTTATTGCGGATATGCAAATATGGGTATGACTGCATAGAAAAGTGAGTAAAAAAATTAGAATTTTGTTTCACAGAAAAAAAAGAAATCAAAGAAAATAGATATCCTGAAGATGAATCATATTTGTGTGAATAGGAAAACTAATCAGCAGGTTAGTCGAAGTTTGCTTCAAAATGGTAATTCATTGCACTTATCATGAAATTTCACACAAGCTTTGGCTTGAAATAGTGATTGACTGAGCACATCAGAGATAAAATTTCTCTATCTTATCAGGAACTTAATGATAGAGAAACTTCTGAGTTAGAATTTTATGGGTTCATAACCCCTCTTGCCTTTTCTAGATTCTATTCATTTATCTTCTAACTTATATAGAATTATAGACAGATTTGGAATATTGGATCTTAGACTCATAGGGAATGCTCTCTTTTATGTCCTTCATTTTATTATCCTCTCTCCAAATAGAGAGATATTCTTTCATGAGAAGCTTCTTCCGTGTGCAAAGCTCCCCCTATAGTCAAGCCATTCATTTGGACGAGAGTATTCACTGAGATTAATATTAATTGTTTTTTTATAGATCCGTATACCTAACAAAGCTTTGTGTCTCGTGAGTTATGTGCTCTATTCAAATTCAGATTTCAGAGACCGCTTCGGATTTGGATTAGGCTTTTTGGCAGGTTTTGTGAATCTTGGGTGTGCCCCAATAACTTGGAGCAGCATCTCTTGATTACGTTTAAAGGTCCAGTCAAGAACAATAACAAGGAGTGAAAAATTATATGACAGTGTTCTATATATGCTGTCATCTGTTGTCTTATGCTGGAGTACAAGACTTAAATATTTAAGAGGAAATATCTAACCTTAGAAGTTAGAACTGATATGGTATAAAATTGTTTTTATTGTCTCTAACAGTGTTAGCATTATCTGCAGAGGGAGTGAGAAGCTTTTTTTTCTCCTGTTCAATTGAAGGAGCGTATCTTATCCCCCTTCTAATTGTAAGCTTTCATTACTTGTATGTCTATATTTCCTTGTTTTATTAAAGAAAAAACCAAGAAAGCAAACATACTCAGCACACAAACATGCATTGAAATTGGGGGAAAGAGAGAAAACAAAGACATATCAAAGTAACAATCATTAAGAACTGCATATGTGTAGAAAGGAAAGCTCACAGGAGTTTCATCAAAGTGCGGGTGGCCCTTTGATAGAGTATAAATGGCTAAAATAGTGCATGTAGCAATGCCTAGATATGTAATCTTCTCCCACTTGGCCGTCTCATCTGACATAAATGACAAGATAAAAAATTAAAAATAAAAAAACAGAATATTCATATAGAAATCATGCAACGAACAATATATGTAAGAGCTAGAGAAAATCTATTAATCTCAGCCTGAAACGGAAGCTACATGAAATTCTTAACAGAAAAATCAACATTCGAAAGAGAATGGATCAAATCTAAAATCTTAATCTCTAAAGGGGGTGAAGTGAGACATAGAATGTGATTGCTTTGCTTATTTAATCTGAATAAAGCGTTGATATATGTACCCACCAAAAAAAAAAAAAAAAAGTATTTATACATAGCAATGCAAATTCAAACCCATTTAGGTTAATCCAGAAATTCAAAACAACATCATTATAGGATTCAATTCAAAGATTTGAGATCAAAATACTTTCCAAAAACACAAGGAATAATTCATCATTTCTGATAAAAACGAAGTGCATAAGCATTCAAACTCGCCAAGAAACCAAATCCACGAGCAAATCCATTTCAATAGAAGAAAATTACGAACGCAAATAGTTCCAAAAAATAAAAATCGAGAACAAAATTTTTAATCTTAAATCAGAGCGAACTAGATCAAATGCATAAATCCCCCTTTCCCGAAATCATGTATAAAAATGCAACTCAAAATTGACCAAACAAACAACATGCTTTCGCAAAAACCATACGGAATTGCAAACTAAACCTAATGCAGGAGGCTATTTAATAAAACCCTAAAACAATCGAATAGGGTTAGATGAGAGAGAGAGAGAGATAATAAGGTACTCACATGCATCATCGTGATGACCAGACGAAGCAAAGTTTCGTTTGGGAGTGGTGGCGCCACGAGCACCGCCTCTTAGGGCGGTTCGAAGAAAACCAGATCGCACCAGTGCCGTTGCCATTGCTTACCACAAGACTTTTCTCTCCCTTTCTGTGTGCGTCGTAATGGAGCCCGAAACAATAGAAACTAGAACGCACCTGCAAACTCGTTATATATTTTTGTTATTTATTAATTTAGTTATTAGTATTTGTCTTTCTTTTTTTTTGGTAAATAATTCTTATCCTTTTAAAAAATATAAAATTATGTTATTTTAGTTAAAATTATGATGTTTTATGAGAAACAAAATTATATAATAAAAATTATGATAAAACAAGTGGAATTTTTTTTAATTTAAATATTAAATAATATTGTATCCTTTAAAAATATAAATATTTTCCTCATTAATTTATTGCAAAATTTAAAAATAATTTTTTTTAACAAATACAAATTACTCACAGAAGTTTTACATCGATAATACTTCAAAGACAGTTAAAATCAAGCTATTGAGATTCATTATAACTTTGTCTAAATAGTTAAGATTAAAAAAGTTGGTAACATAAAATTTTAGAATATGTTATATTTATAAATATTGAGATTCTTGTTCTCCAATTGGACATTGTAAATTTTCGTATTACAATCCAACATCTTCTTCTTCTTTTTTGGTTACTAATAAAAAAATGTTATATTTATAAATATTTTTATTTAGAAAATTTTACAAATTATACCGTATCTTATCAATAAAATATTTTTGAATAAAGTCTTGTCGATAAGATATGGTATAGTTTCTAAGTTGTAAAAAATAAAGTTTGTCAATATAATCATCACTAACAAATATTAAATTTAAGAATAGTCTTCAGAGTAGTAAAAACAAATATTAAATACTTTTAACTATTTTAAAAATAAATAATAAATAATTCTTAAATTTAAGAAAAGCATGGCAAAGCTTAAAAAAGGGCAGATCTGCATCGAAATTACAATTATGGGCATTATGGACCCAATTCGATCAGCAAAAATAAGCCTTGTCAAATGTCAAATTTGTGGAATGGCCGTTTCTCATGAATTAAAATGATTTTCACACATTCTTTTTGTATATCTATTGCTTATGCATACTTATATACGAAGAGAGAGAGTGTAAATGTATTTTAAAAGTGTTTTTAATTCTATTATCTAAAAAACTAATAATGTAAAAAAAAAAAAAAAAAAAGTTATATAACTAACATCGCTCACTCTTTTACTATTTTATGAAACCAGAGTCCGGACTCAAATTGTTTGCAATCCGGCCGTGCAAAAGCTTCTCTCACCAAAGGTATGCTTGAAGCGAACAATCTCCTTCTCGCTCCCTATTTCCTTGCAAAACTGTTGAGCTTCCAATGTATTAAATATTTTATTTTCTATTGTCTATTGTCTATTTTTATTTTTAGTAACTACTGTTTTGTAAATACTTATTAACATATTTTATTCGATTCTCATAGTTTCGCCGCATATCCGAAAAAGCAAGGAAATCAAAGCGTTTGATTGCAAAATCCTGAAAAAAATTTATACTTATAGGGGGGCTATTGATGGTAAATACGAAAATTAAAAGAGATAAAAAAAATGTAAATATAATATAATAGAGACAATTATGTATGTTATGTGAGAAAAAATTATGAGTGAGAAAAAATTATGAGTGAGAAAAAATTAAATTATGAGTGAGAAAAAATTATTTATGATGTATCCATTTCCCAATGCCTCCTTTAATCATAATACGGGCACATGTGCAATCCCATTATTAATTTTTTTTATTAGTTATTTTTTCTTCAAAGACTCTGACCTCTGTTGAAAAAGCTTTTCGGGTGGTTTGATTTCAGCTCTTAAAAATAGTTTTTATTTTTTAAAAAAAAATTATTTGGTATTGCTTATTTTATAAAAGTGGTTCCAAAAATTACAAGAGTAAAGTATGTTTTGGGTCCTTAATAAATATTATAGAGTGCAATTTAATTTTTTATAAATAAAAATAAACTCGTGATTTCTATAAAATTCAAAATAGACACATTTTAGTTCTTTTAAGGGATTAATATTGGCCTTCCTTGAATTTTAAAGAGACCACAAGTCAAATTTATTTCTAAGGAATTAAATCGGCCTCGTAATTTTTGTTGAGACCCAAAAGATACTTTACTCAAATTATAAGTGTTTTTTAGTTCATGTCTTTGTTATTTTTGTTTTGTGTTGACCTATGATGTACCGACACTTTAAAATTTTTGATATGACGTGTTCAACACTCTCTGACACTCCAATAGATGGTGCAGACACTTAAAAAAAGTTTAAAATGTTGCATTGCGTTTTTAATTTCAACTATAAAATTTATTTGATTACGATTACCATTTTATTGAGTTTAATATAAATATTTAGGATATCTTATGTTTTTTTGCAAAATTGAAGGGTATTATAAGTTTAGCTTCATGTTTTTGTTAACTTATTGAATATTAAATATAATATACACTACAAAAATTAAAAATATTATTTAATATCAAAACGTGTCCTATAGAAATCTAACATTTTTTAGAATTAACGTATCAGAATAATATTTCACTTAACCTTATGGTAATAACCATCAACAACAAACCAAGATCCATCATACCAAATCATAAAGAAATATTAACATAAAGGTGGAGGCATATCTGTCTCCATAGCAGCGGAATAACTTTGATCTTCTCCTTTATGGTATGCGATATTCCTTTGTCGAATAGCCTTAATCCTTTTTCTTTAATATGATCTTCCCTTTATGGGGTATGCGATCTTTTTCAGTCAAATAGCCTGAATCCTTATTCTTTAGTGTGCTTTCTCTATCTTGATAGGGAAGAGAAACTAGGGTTATTATTTGACATATTGGGGACCATAACCCTTTATAGTATTTTTCTTTATTGTTGGGTCAATAAGCTCCCGTTATACCTAGTTGGTCCAACATTGGTATCTACTCATTTTATCCCACACTTACTTTAGAATCTATTTGGACATCTTTGTTTGATCACTTTAATTTACCCAATATATATTAAATAACATAATATAATTATATATATAATATGTAGCCACAAACAATTTCCCACTTGGGCTACACATTGACCTGAGATATTATATCATATATTTGTAGTGCGCAACTGTATGCTATTTACCCTTGGATTCCTTCTTAGATACAATCTGGTCCATCTCCTATATTAATATGAGATCATGGCGGCTTTTGTCAATCTCAAGCGTAACTAAACCTTCCATGGTAATGACACCAATATATTCAATGACATAGATGGATGAGTGGCATGGAAATTACATCCAATGTGATCTCCATCATGCCTATTTTCAACTGATTCTACTTTAGTCCTTATGATATCAGTCCTTAATTTTCTGCATACACAAAGCAGAAACACAGGCTTTTAACCACTGTAGCCCTTTATTAATAATTATTTACCAAATTGCCCTCGATTAGAAACTATTTCGAAAAATTAACCCTTCAAAAAAACATAACACCAATCTGCCCCTGTTTGACCGTTGACCACGAAACCTACCCGGGTACCCCCCCTCTATACCCGGGTATTTTTTTGAAAAATCAATCCTACCCGAGTATGGAGGGGGTACCCGGGTATTGTTCTTCAATCTGGAAAAATCTTGAATTATCTACCCGGGTTGGTATGGGGGTACCCGGGTATATATCGGCCAGAAACCCCAATATCAAGGGTTTCAGCCATTGTTGCAAGTCAAAGTTTTTTTTCCCCCAAATCTCTCTCCCTTCACATCTCTATTCCGAAACATCACACATATATTTCATCTCATCCTCTCAAAAAGCTTAATCTTGGTAGGACATTGGCATTACACCTCTACATTCCCATTTTGTTTTTAAAAATCCGAACCAAGATCCAAACCCAAAACCTAGACCCAAATTTTCGTGTAAAAGATGAGTTCAAGTCCTAACATGGTTTCTATAGTTATTTACTACAATGGGAGGCATTTTGAAGGTCCGAACGGTGTCCGATTTGAAGGAAAAACAAAAACAATGAAAATCAAAGTGGGCACTACACTTGATGAACTGAAGGAGAGAATTCTCCAAAAAATGGGGTCAGAAGGCATCCATTCCATCCACCGCATGATAGCCAGGTTAGAGACTGGAGTGGATATGGATACAATATACTACATTGGTAACGATATCAATGATGATGAAGATGTGGAGTTCGTCATAGATGCGTATGTTGGATGGAAAGTATTAAAAATGATTGAGATATATGTTGAAGTTGATGCTGGTCAGTCTTCATCGTTACCGGTGCATACAACCACTGCGCACTGTACTGGTCAAGAAGATACAATTGTATGATCATCTGCACCTGCTCAGGAAACATTGGATGTGGATGAAGAGGATGAAGATGAGGAGTATGTGGACAACGAAGATGAGGGAGAATCTGAAAGTGCTATTCCACAAGGTGATTCGTCTAACACTGACGTGGATGAAAATTTTGACGCTGACACGAGCGCTGTAAGGCTGGGTACCCCAACCATGTCACCACTTCACGTTGACCCTGTCAGTTTACCACTTCATGTTGACCCTGTTAGTTCACCACTTAATGTTGACCCTGTCAGTAGTGGTAAATTATTAAATTTACACATTTTCTTTAAAAAAGTATACATTTTCGGTGCTATTGATTCAGACAATAATGATGAAGCTTTAGATGCAGGGACTGCGGTAGAGCCATTTTGGAATGAAAGCCAACATTATTCATTCATTAATTGGGCGCACCCTAATGACGAGTTGGAGATCTTGTATGGGGATGATGACTTGCACGGAGTTTGGAAGTTAGGAGATCCGTTATTTGTGCAACAAGAATTTCGCTCCAAACCTGAAATGCAACATGCTGTGAAGATACATTGCATGAAGGGGCGCAGGATAGCCATAGTCAAAAAAAGTGACGAGTTAAGATTTGTTATGAAATGTAGAAACCATGCTGACGGTTGTCCGTGGTATATGAAGGTAATCAAGCCCAAGAAGGGAGCTAATTGGGTGGTCCGTAAATGGGGTCAAGATCACACATGCCTGAATCAGGGCCTATCACAAGATCATAGACAGTTGGACTCAGATATCATTTGTGCGGCTATTATGAGTATGTATTCTACCGTGTACTTAAC